CTGTCCTAGTTCCACTATGAAACCAACAACCAGGGAGGGGTCTTCCTATTCCACCCCCACGCTTCTGCCAGGTCCAAGTTCAGACTAAACACAGGAGGGTGGATCCATCTCATTCCAGCACAGCTCACCAGCTGAGCCCTGCTCCTGTCAACTGATGTGTATTAATAAACAAAAACGGTTGGCTTGGAAGTTCATGGTTCTGTAAGAAGCTTAGAAAAAAGCTCTTCGGAGAGAACAGGAAGTCACTTCAGTGCCAGATACAGTCAATTTCAAACTGATTAAAAGAGTTAAGTCTTTGCACTTGTGGGCATTTTTCTTCAAGCCTAGAAGAATGCACCTGCCCCACATTAGATTTCCCTAATAAAGTATTTACCTGTCCCAGCAGCACAGGTGAGGGGAGGCCCAGCTTTCAAGGGGGCACGAGGAAGTCATCAGGGGGCAGCAGGAGGGTCGAAAGGGGACAGTTTTTCTGTTCCCTCTGGCCCGGCCTACGCCTGGAAGAAAAAGCTGGGGAGAGGTTCGCTGTCGCCTAAATCCCTGCCCCTGTCCTACTTTCAGCGACACCCTCCTGGTCCACAAACACCTAATGCTCTTACCAAGGACCCAGAAAAACTAAGCCGCATCGTTCGGAGCCAGACACAACCTGAAGACGCACGTGGACCTCACCGCACGTGGGGACACCTCCCCGCGGTCCTCCCGAGCGGGTCAGGAGCCGGCTGCAGTCACCCGAGCCGGNCCATTCAGACCCCACTGCCCCAGGTTAGCAAGTCTCTTAAAAAGCTGAAAGACCAGCTTACGTTAAAACCGGTGACAGTTCTTGAAAGGGACTAGTCAAGGCCTGTGGCCTTACCTTTATCTCAACTAAATATCAGGCACACCAAAGGTGGCTGTTGATTTTCCTTGTGCGTCAAATAGGTTGAGATCACTGGTCCAAAGCATAATTATAAGGTGGCAGCTGTCCTTTCGTCACACCAGGAGGGACCTGGAAAAATACTCTGGGGAATGGCACGCTGACTCCCAAGCCACCACAGCAAGACTCCGGAGCATGTTTATAAACTAGAGCTTCACAACAGGAGTGGCCCTGAGGATTCCTGTCCTAGTTCCACTATGAAACCAACAACCAGGGAGGGGTCTTCCTATTCCACCCCCACGTTTCTGCCAGGTCCAAGTTCAGACTAAACACAGGAGGGTGGATCCATCTCATTCCAGCACAGCTCACCAGCTGAGCCCTGCTCCTGTCAACTGATGTGTATTAATAAACAAAAACGGTTGGCTTGGAAGTTCATGGTTCTGTAAGAAGCTTAGAAAAAAGCTCTTCGGAGAGAACAGGAAGTCACTTCAGTGCCAGATACAGTCAATTTCAAACTGATTAAAAGAGTTAAGTCTTTGCACTTGTGGGCATTTTTCTTCAAGCCTAGAAGAAT